TTTCGAGGTTTTTGACGATTTTTCCCATAAGAGCTAATGCATAACTTTGAGCTCGATGCGCGATCGGAAAATATTGTCCGATCTCAAAATAAAAACTTGCACTGGATTCTACATCTAAAAAGACAACTTTTCTGCATACCCGCCATATCAATATCTCAAATCCTTTTTTTTCGCTATCCTCTAATGTACACACTACCTCCTAAATACATGTGGGTATTCAGGACGTACTGCATAATGCATTACGCGTACACACTTGGGTTTCCAGGGCATTTACGGCGCCACTCTCAGTACTTCATCTTCGCCCTGAAGAATACAAATTCGAATTGTGGGACGCGGTCGGTCCAAAACTGTGGATTTGAAGATGGTTTTCAGTTTCAACATAACAAGAACCGGTTGATCTATTGGGTGTATCACGCCTCACCGGACGGTACGTTGGGTTGCCTATGTGTAGTTCGCAGGCGCTGTGAAGAGAAAGCCACCTGATGACTTCAATACTTGGTTCTATGGGCCTGAAAGTGCCTTGTATGTTCCTTTCAACAAATTTCTTGGGGAAAAAATAATAAATAAGAAAAGTTAAACTTTGGCTAGTTCAGTTTTTGTGGTTCACTTGCCCTTGCAGATCGATTCTTTCACTTTAAAAATCACTAAACATGTAGTCGGTGCAAAACTGTGTTCGTAATGACTTAGTTCAGAAAAGAGGTATAAACCCGAGGGCTATTTTGGAGGGCCATATCCACAGTGCATAGTTTTTCTTTCGAGTCGGTTGGGCCAGCCGCCCTTTAGTACCCTGAGAGCGTGTCGGTGCAGCAGGTAGTGGCGCAGCAGGCGGTCCCGGGCGGCGCCGGGTCGCGGGCAGGCCCCCGGCGGCACGAAAGAGCTCCTGTGCGTGGTGAGGAAGTGGTCGGGTGAGGCGGTGCCGTCGCTACAGAGGATCCAGCGCGTGTCCGCGAAGCGCCGGTCCACAGCCTCGCCGGCCACCTGGTCGCGGCGCAGGCAGCGGATGAACCGGCGCTGCGGCTCCGGTGGCACCTCGTCCAGGGGGTCGCACTTGGACACTGAGAAATGAATTTGTATGTTTTTGTGCAAACGTTCATGCTAAGGCAATACTTACATTTCGTTTCGAAAAAATATGCTCAAAAAAATAGTATTTCGAACAAAGGAATGCACGCACGTGATGCAAGTGTGATCAAATCAACACAGGAATGCTTACTGAAAAAGGATTACTTTAATTCGTTCAAAGAAAAGATATAAATCCAGTTAGTGTGTGACGGGCATCGAAAGCAAAATCAACACGAGGTTTTCTATTGCGCTTCCGGGAGTTGGAACTAGAGCGATTTTATTGGATTCAAAAGAACTTGCAGTCAACAGGTGGCGCATTGATAAATCTGACAATACCAAATATTCTTTGCACTGCTATTATTGCTAGGGTTTCGCTGTGTTTCACTGTGACGCACCTTCCTCCGCGGAGGGCCCGATGCAGTCCTTCTCCTTGGGGCGCTCCATGGCTGTGGCGCTGGCGCTGCTAGCAGCGGCTGGTCGTCGCCGTGGTTACCGCCGGGGTCGCCTGTTGGATCCCGAGAGACCGCGAGCAGCTGGCACGAAAACACGGAATTC